CGGCTCCGCCCAAGCTCAAGCTTCACGCCCTGTCGGCTCCGCCCAAGCTCAAGCTTCACGCCCTGTCGGCTCCACTTAGGCTCCGCTCTCTGTCAGCTCTACCCCAGCTGCTTGCCCTGCCGGCTCCCTCCTTGAGGCAGGCTCTGCTCTTGCTGCCGGCCCCGCCCTGGCCTCCTGCCCTGCCGGCCCCACCCTGGCCTCCTGCGCTGCCGGCCCCGCCCTGGCACCCTGGTTTACCTCTATCCCCAGGGCCTCTTCCACTACACGGGCCTGGCCCACCATCCCTCCCCCTGATCCACCTCCGTTCCGCCTCCCTCCGGGATTGCTCTTGGTGGAGCGTCTGGAATCCGCTCCTTAAGGGGGGGGGTTCTGTCACAGTCTTCAGCGGGTGTGCCCAGGAGGGCCACCAGATGACTGTGTTCTGGGAGCACATGGCTTGTGTTGTGTTTGTCTGTTGCCATGTGCTCTCTCCTGTCTATTGTCTGGCCCCTCCCATCTTGTTACCTCGTTATTGTTTAAGTTGCTCCACCTGTGTCTCCCTCGTTAGCCTCCTCGTTTGGTTCCTATTTATTCTCCTGGTGTCTGTCATCCTGTGCTGATCCGTCATTTCTCATTGTGTGTGTTATATGTCTGCATGGAGTGCAGTTTTGAGCCTACCTGTCTGTTTTTCCCCCTCGGGGTGGTTTGAGTTTGTTTTTTGTTTCATTTTCATTTTTAAAATAAATAACCATTTCTCCTGCACTTGAGTCCTCGCTTCATCTCCCTGCACGCACCTTGACAACATGAACATCTTGGATAACACGGGGGTAGATCAATTATCAGGAAATTATTTTGGAAGTGAACTAATCCTTAAACAAAGCTCTTTAAATCATTATGTAATTGTTCTATCATTGTAGAAGAGACTTTTCAAAAGGACTAAAGGCACTTATGTATCATGAAGAGCCATCATCTGATCTGTGTACCTGTAATTTTGGGGATGCCCTCCAGCTTGGGCACAGGCAGGGTGATGATAATGCCCTGGGCAGTTCCCACCCACAGCAGCCCCTGGCAAATCAGTAGGCTGGTAACTCTCACGCTCTTTTGACCTTCAAAAAAAAAACAAAAAAAAAACATCAACACTGAGTAACCTGTTTTTATCTATGCAGTATGATAGTATTTTTACTCTATACTTTGAAAGAACAAACTGTGCTATAAAACTATGAAAACCACTCTCCTGCTTGTATATCAACAATTATTGTTTCTGTAGAGACTCCCATTAAAACCCAGCACACTGCTGACTGCACGCCCCCTCCATCACAACTGTGCTTCTCTCATCAGCTTTATTTAACTGGTCAATTATAGCAGTGTGCAGGTATGACAACATTTAGATCGCTGTTTGGGAAAACAAAACAAAAAAGCAACATGGAACATTTAAATGGCTTTATTCACAGTGCCCAAATCCCTGACCCTGGGTCTTTAGACATCAGAAAGCCACCACAGTATAATGAAATCAAAGAACAACAGCACAGCAGAGAGTTCAGCAAGTATGGATGGTGGCCGCATGTTCGTATTATAAAGCTTGCTTTTCATGAGTGATAGGTAAGTGGCTAATTGATTCGTTTTCAGGGCATGCTGTCTTTAGGTTGCTACAGTACTTGGGGAGACTTTGCAAATGAAGCATTTTCAGTATGGTAGTTATTCACCACGGAATCAGTGAAGGTCATGAAAAAAACATTAGTGAATGCACTGCATTAGGCAGAATTCCTTCTTAGAAATGTCAGCTGTCCAGTTCTGCAGAGCATTCACCTATTATACATTCTTTTTCTGTGCAAGAGGGATCACCTTAATAATAGATTGTCAAATAAATCTGCAGTTCTGCAGTAATGCATATGAATTCATGAATGCTGAAAACATAAGATGCTGAGTTTTGGGGGAAAAAAATGCATCTTGCATATTTTATTAGATCTCCTTGTAGTTGACACCAGGGTGCGAACTACGGGGGAGCTAAGGGGAGCTCGGCTCCCCTTAATAAGACATGGGCTCCCCTGAAAACGTGATTTGTGAAATTTTGGGGGGTCTCAAAAAATATTGACAGTGTGTTATTTTGACGTGCAATTTCAGTTTTGTGTAATGTGATCATCGTGGATTATTATGTGTAAAATTGCAAAAATATAATTCATTCATGCATGACGGCGATTTAAACCTAATTTACTTCAATAAAGATAACTATACTAACTATATTCTGCGGTGCAAATTCCACTCATGTTTAGTACATGTTAACTCAAAGATTCGTAGAAAAAATATAAACGGACTCTGTGGTCGATTCTGTGTTAAGGTAAGGCATGTTATTCGCAATTATGTGTTGTGGCTGGGTTGCTATAGGTCTGCGTGACTCTCGATGTCTTAGGCCTAACTGAACGGAGGAATTATGGTATTCTTCTGTAGCCTGACGACGAGTAACTTTGTTAACCGTTGTTCATGTGAACTCAAAGACAGCCTGATGCTTTGTTTATAGACTATTTGTGGGTGGCTGTTAGTTGTTTCACCTATCAATTCGTGTTGATAAAGTATAACAGGGTAAATCCTGTATAGTGATTTATCCTATATAGTGCTTGCATAAAGCAAGTAGTGCATACACTTGTAGCTGTTATGTATCTTTGTAAGTCATTGTAAGCTCTCTTTTGGGGCACGCGCAAGCGCACGAATGAAAACCTGAACTTCATTTTTGTTCCCCCCCAGACTCGGTCTGAATAATTTTTGGTCCCAAATGTGTATAAATTTTACTGGTAGTCCACTGTATGAAGAAATTTGGGGTATAATTTGTCACAGTTTACTTTATTTTGCTATCCTCACTTACATAAATGAACTATAGTGTCCTGCACCCACT